TGCCCGCCGGCCCGCATGGCCAGACTGCGCGCTGATATGGTGCAGTCGCATGCCCTCATACATGTCCTCCAGCGTGAACGAACGCCGTTGCTTCAAAACCCTGGCCTCGGTCATCCGATGGAAGAAGATCGTATATTCCTGGTGCCGGGTGGCCAGATCAGCGCATGGATGATAAAGGACGGTGCCTTCCTTGTCAGCGTTTTCTTCTCCACCGATGCGTCGCTGACTGGGGGTCGGCCCACCTGCCTCCAGCCACGCAGCGCGTCGGAGCTCGGCTTTGTAAGCCAGTCTGCGTAGATTGCCTTTTTCGGCGGCAGTGTCAGAACGCTGTGCTCGGATGCGAATCTGGACGTCAGCACGCATCAGCTGGCGAACGAAAATCTCGTCCATGGATTCGCGGATCCAGTTGTGCACATCTGTCAGGGACTGAACCTGGAACGCGACTGTTCTCCCATGCCTATATGACTCAGCGCACGCGTGGCACAAGCCATCTTCGCATGTGTCGCTGTTTGGGAGGTCGCGGCAGCAGCTAGAAAAATGGCGCTTTGCGGTCTGCAAATCAGCCGCGCCGTTCTCATTGAACTCCTGTTTGTGATTGCGAAGGTTGCCACCAGCGCTCAAATTCCGGCCGAGAGAGATCACGAACGGCATGATTTGGGACGAGGTGAGCGCGATCGGTGGCCAAATCGTCGGCCAGAGACTCCACTCCCTTATCGGTCACCGGATCAGAGAGATCCCCAGCCACGATCTGGTCGCGAGCATGGTGCGCAGAGGCCGTGCCCTGATGATCTCGCAAGAGCTTATCCGCGCTGCGGCGAAGCTCCTGGCCCAGTGCATCGTGTCCGCTGGCGTCGCCCACGCCATCGCCATAGTCGACGCGGGTAGGAGCAACGGCCGACGCTGTGCTTCCAGGGTCAGCGGCAGGGGCAGCGGAGTGACGTCAGCCCTGAGATTGAACTGATCTCTCAGTGGGTCCGTCAGCATGTCACTGTACCTCGGATCGGAGAGCACCGTCGCTTCCCAGAGGTTGAGGAGGGACGCCAAAGCGGGGTGATGCTTGAGGATGTCCGACGCAAAGTATCCACCAAACGCTGTGTATAATCGCTCTGTATGATGGGGAAGGATGTGGGATCCAGCGGGAGAGCACGAAATCCTCAGTATCATTCCAACTCATATCCGTCATCCTCGTTGACAGGAAACGGTGGTGGCCACAAGCGTTCGGTAGTTGGTTTGCCCATGGACTGAAAAAGGTTTTAAATCATGTTGTACAAATCCGCCTTGGGGTCGGAACGGACTCGTATCTCGATATGACTGTCGTAGTGGTATGTATCCATGTGTGTTGCCGTACATAGTTGGTCCACCTCGCACAGTCGAGTGGTCAACATCGGGATGCTCTGCGTGCTCCTGCCATTCGCACGGATGTTCATCATAGCGTCATGCGAAGGTCTGGCGAAGATGGCAGGTCTTCGATGATCTCGATTGTCGTAACGAGCTTCGTCTCATCGATCTTGATGTCCCGATTGACGTTATTTTGGAGCGCGGGCGTTTCCACCGGCGTGTCGATACCGATATCGTGGTCGATGGGCCCAACGTGCACGTCGCAATCGTATGTGTTGAAATGGTCACTTAACCATTGAGGCTGCCCGGTACGGAGTGGAACTGCGAATGGAAAGCCGTTCTGGTCACCATTCTTCTCGGAGTACCAAATGTTGGCCCAGCCCAGAGAATGGTCCATGACCCTCGCACGGAATCTGCGCGCTGACGTATGGTCCGTTGTGAACCACGTCTACGATGGGCCCGAAGATCTCTCCTTCTTCTAGCGTGGGCGCGACGTCCTTCTTTGCTGGATACAGGCGATCAGCGGCATGGCAGCGGGCAGAGCCATGCAGTCGTGTGTATATGAAGTCGTATGAACGGATGTCTCGAAAGCGACTGGTACGGCCCCGGGTGCCCAGAGGAAGTGTCTTCGCAAATGGTTCGACATATTCCTTCTTGCAATCGTCCAGGATCTTCCACTAGCGGATGGTGTTCAGGAGGCCCACGTCGGTTGGAGTCTGCGCAGGTGTTGCCACCGGCTCCGCTCCGATGAGGATGCGATCTACTTGGGACTCTTCTTGCCTTGGCCCTGGTTGCAGTCCTGGCTGTTTGGAAACATCCGCTGCAGCAGAGGAAGAGGAAGGCATTCGGAGGCGGCCGTGTAGCCCCGAGGCATAAGCCTAGGGCGTGGTGCCGGGATGCGCGTCCGCAACTGTTGTTCTGCAGGTGTCACCACCGGCGCAATCTCGCAGACCTCGCACTGGCTGCGTGGTGCTGGGAGTTTGGCCAAATCCGGAGACTTCCAATTCGTGACCATGTCTGGGTAAAGAGGGCCACCCCTGACCATTTTGATGGCCAGGATGGCCATCGGAGGAATAGTGTGGGGGCACATGATGGCCCCTTATTCACCGAGCCAGAACTCACAGCCAGCGCTCGTGGTTGTATGCGTGTCGATGCCCACGTCGACCTGCTTCTTCTTGTGCTCGAACTTGTATCCAGTGATCGTCGCGCGGGGATTCTGCTCTTCATGAAGAACGAAAGAACTCGAACTGTAAAATGCCTCACGCCGTGTCTGACGCCCAGCACCGTAGCCTGGAATGATTCCAATCTTGCGGATGCTGCCCCAGGCGTCGCGTGTACTGGCGTGGTGCAGGAACTTCACATCCGTCCATGATAGACGTTTCCAGCCCATGTTCCACGGTCGGCTGTTGTTGTGTACAGCGGTGTGCCCACCAATGGCACGAATGGCCAGTACCTGATCCCACGCAAAACCTGATCCTGAAACGTCGGGGTCGGGGCGGCGGACAAAGACTTGGAAGCGGCAGATGTAGGGCACGAAGATCAGCGATCACGCAGTATTCAGGTGCACTCTGTCACTGTTGGCCATGATCGTTTGCCTGAAGCATGAGGGCATGGACAAAAGACCACTTGGGGCCGTGGTCGTTTCGAGTGAACACTTCGGAAACGATGTGGCTGAAAGCTTTGGGGCGGTTGGCCACGGCCCATGCATCAACGTCTTCGTGCTGCCATCTAATTGACACGGCGGTCCAGAAATTGGTTCAAGCCTTTGCGCCCGCCAATATCATGGCGGACTGCGGTCGAAAGAGCCTTACTGAAGTACCGCGGTGTCCCCATCGTATGACCAGACTAATGTGGACCGACAAGGAGAGGTGGTCCCACCTGTTTAGTTGTCACTTTACACAAGAGTGATGGGGAGTCGGGAACGTGCTTGATCACATAACCGTCGTAGTACAAACTCTTCCGATATTCCACGCTGTCCGTGCACAACTGGTATTGACCGTGTCCACGCAAGGGCGGAGGGACCCAAGGGAATGGGTCAGACATTTTAGCACGAATGGCGCATTCTCTGGGAGTGATGCCGAACGTTGCCTCGTCCTCCAACGTATCCACAGTCTCGTGTTGCGATCGTGCGCAAAATCGTGTGCACCCATGATTATGTACTTTACGGGCTCCGCAGAGACGCCTAGTTGCCTCCGGCTCGCCGATATCCAGTGCTGGAGTGGACGGCGGAACCCGTGGTGGAGTAGGTTGGTCTGCCGGTGTGGTAACCGCACGCGTCCCCTGCCCATCGGCACGCCCCTCACGAAAACCGTGGCCTCACGCGGATCATGACGCCACAGAGAGCTCCACCCACGGACCAGCAGAAGGCAAAAGGATTCCATGCAGGCCCAAGCCCAATCCAGCGTACACCTCACACGAATCGTGTCGCACAGCCCTCAGACTGCACAGTTCGGCTTCCAGGCGGCTTAAATATAGACGCTCATACTCAGACTCACCCACACCCAGGCCCTCTCATACTTAGACACGCTCATTCCCAGACACGCTCACACTCATCCCCAGACACGCTCACCCCACTCATAACCAAACCTTAATACGCAGGCCCGCTCATCCCCAGACACGCGTACACTCAGACTGAATCGGACCCAGGTACGCACTCCCACCCAGACACGATCATACTCCGTCGCTCACATCCAGACTCGCCCATTTGCAGCCTCACACACACCCAGATCTGTCCACACCCTGATCCTGTCATACCAATATCTTCCTAGTCATACTCATTCCGACCCAGAGTCTCTCGGACTGGCTAATCAGACTCGCATGTGCTGACAATCGCACAGTACGAGTCGCACGCCAGTTCGACTTCAGACCCGCTCGTGCTCGACCAGCCATGGTGACTAAGCCACAATCACCCACACAACAGCAACACAATCACACTCAAAGTCGCTCGTACTCAGACCCGATCGTATTCTGAATGAGTTGGGCCGCCCAAGCCCACTCATATCCCGATCGACACCGTGTAACATATCTGTAAGTGTGTGTATACATTTCTTTTTGTACATCTATATATATATATATATACACACACATTAGATTTTCATTGCGCGGATCCCCCCCCCTAACCGGGACCCCCCGAGGGACGCCCTGGACGCCCTTTCGGACGTCTCGGCCGTCCCCTGGACGCCCTTGGAGACAAGTCCACTGGATTTCCCGGGCCTCCCAGGGCGCCGTGCCTGGCCTTGCGAGCAGACTAAAAAGGCGATCTGAGGGGTCATCGGAGAAGCGCAAGAGAAACCCAAGACAGCACAAGAGCGCTCCAAGAGGAACCCCGATGGTCTGAAGACAGCCCAAAGGGCCCCCAAAACGCCCCAAGAGGCCGTGAACAGAGCCCCGAAAAATCAAAAAGTTGTCCCATTCCCTGGGGGAAATGTATAGGTTTAGCATATCCGCTTTGGGGGTGTTCGAAGCGTCTAAGACGGCCCGATGGGCCCCCGGTATCGCCCCATGATGGCCCAAGAGGCCTCCCTAAGGGCTGGAAGACGGCCCAAGAGGGCCCCAAAACTGCCCCACAGAGCCCCGAGACTGCCCGCAAGAAACCCAAGATGCCCGCAGAAGGCTCCCAAGAGAGACCCACGAAAGCCATGGGACCCACAAGAAAGCCACTAGAGGCCCCCAAGAGGGCCCCAGATGGCTTCAGAAGACCTCTGCGGGGCCCCGGCTCCCCAAGACGGCCCAGGAAGGCCCCAGGACCGCCTAAGAGGGCCCCAGGACGGTCCAAAAGAGCCACAAAAACGCCCAGACGGCGTTTTCCTACGAAATACGAGCTGGCACGACGTTCTTGGCTCCTCGCTTGAAGCTCGAGGCTTAAGTTCCTCGATCGAGAGAGACAAGCAATGGATCTAGATTCGGAGTTCGACGATCGAAGATTGCCTGCGTGCCTGGGCCCGCCAAGCATTCAGGAAACGACCGAACATCGATTTGTGCGGAGCTACTGCGACTTCTTCGGCGTGTCATGGGAACGTTCCTTCATTCCTCGAAAGACCTTCGCGCGAGAAAAACAAAGTTGTCCTTCCCAACTCCTGCGCACAAGCGTGCAAGCGCATCGGGCAATCGGTGTCAGCAGGCACCAGGGATATCAGAAAAATAAGCTGGTCGCCCGTCCAGGCCTCGAAGTCCCCCTGCTGAAACAAACGATGATGCATTGCTTTGCCGGGGAAGCGTCCGGAACAAGGCGCATGGCGCGAAGCGCCAATGCAGTCTTGTGTGTATATCTAGATATCCTTCTCTTGTCTCTCAGACTCAGACCCTTCCAGAATTAGTATCACCCGTACCCACTCTCTACACGCACGTGTAACTCACTCTCACGTTTACATATATGCAGACGGGCTAGAACAGAGATGCACAGCATGGGATATCCATGTAGACTGAGTGGTGTTTGAAGTGCGGCGAAGCTTCGATTTTGCTCTCCCTCGCCCCCTCCCAAAACTTCCACACGAACTCCATGCTCCGTTTCTGCTTCTGTGCGTCCGCCTGCCTCTTCATTTGCCGTACGTGTATCACAATTGCCGACTTGTCGCGTTCGCCCGTCGCTTCACATGTCTGCGTTCTGTGTGCGGTTCCCGTTTTCGCAAATCCGCCTCCGAGAGAAAAGACTAGTAAGATTAGAAGGAGGCGGGTCTGCCGACCCCCCCCCTGCCGCGGATTCTATTTGGCGTGCGAGAGATGACGGAATGTCCCGCTCCCCCTTGCTCCCTCCCCAGGGGTCCAACATGCATTTTTTTGGCGAGGGGGAGCGGGGGGCATCTCCCGTGACCTCCGTGCCTCCGAATCCACGCACGGACGCCTGCAAGATGCTCAAGATGGCTTACAAGCTGAATCCAGACAACTTGCTACATTGCTTAGGAGGCCCAAGACGGCTCCAAGCAGAGCCTCCGAGATACCACACACACTCGAATGTTCCCATGGATGGTGCTTCCGATGCGATGGCTCTAAGATCGTCCAAGAGAGCCCCACGAGGGGCCCAGATGGGCTCCGAGACGGCTCCAAAGGCCCCCAAGAGCGCCCGAACCACGCCCTAAGAGCCCAAGAGGGCAATGTTCGGCCTCCAAGTTGGGGGCCCTAACAGGACCCCTCCCTCTTTTTGGACCGATGACCTCCAGGATTGCTCCAAGAGGCCCCCCACGGACCCCAAACTGGGCCGCAACAAAACCCTAAGACTATCCCAAAGGCCCCCAGACGGGCCTCAAGAGCCCTCCAGGATGACTCCAAGACGCTCCCAAAGGACGCCGTACAATAGCAGACTTCCCTCTTCCCAGCTGCTCGACGGGGTATCGCTTCTGAACAGCGTGCTGGAGACATGGAGGAGGAGGAGGAGGAGGAGGAGGAGGAGGAGGAGGAGGAGGAGGAGGAGGAGGAGAGGATGCGGCAAGAACTACCTTCACCCATCCACCTTGTGCGGGCCGGCGGAGTGGTGCACGCCTCTTCAACAAAAAAGTGGGAGCGGGTGCAGAAGAAGGAGGGCACGGAAAGGAAGCGGGAACGCCCCCAATCCCCACCCAGAAAGCATTGTACAGCGTCTGCACGTGCGGGAAGATGGCGGGCGGGTCCTGGCGGCAGGACAGCGCATTGAGGCCAGGATGAACCAGCGGTGTGCACAGCGATGCAATGCAGAGGTGAAGGACTGGGAGAAGCAAGAGGGGAAGGCGAGGGATGCGACATGAGGGCGAGTAGGAGAGAAGTCAGAGGATCTTGCATTGAGCTTGTCTGTGACTTCATAGCTTCTCTCCAGAAGCAGCTACGCGCTTTATGTAAGAGTGGGGTGGCGCCAGGTTGATTTCTCTCCAGGGCCAGTGAGTGCCAGTGCCCTGGGTCAGAGTATGCCTCGTGTGTGTGTGCTTGGGCGTTACATCGCCAGAGCAGTCAGTCTGCCTAGCCGCCGACGCAAAAAGTGTGCTTGGACGCAGCTCAGAGCACGCAGCTTGGAGCAGCTTCGTGGAGCAACGATCTTATCCTCGCCTTTTGCCCCTTTCGGTAGAGTACTCCCCTTCCGCTGCGCGCTTCACATGGCATAATCAGACAAATGAACTTGCCTTGCCTGCACGCATACAATCCCGCAGGGCCGCCCCGCGAAAAGACTGCGAAAACGTACGAGTGAGGACGAGGAGGCTATATTCGCGCAAACGCTGACTGAAGACGAATCTTCGACTGGAGATGAGGCAGGTCGGTCGTGATTTTGGCTAATACAATAGAACACGAACGATGACCAAAACACCCGACCTGCGCTGGTAACATCCCTGCTTCCGATATCATTGGCAATTAAGTCGTACCATCGCTCCCGCAATATACACAAACACACACACATACATACACACACACGAATTGTCGTCAAAGCAATAAGGGGGTCGCGTGTGGGTCGCGGTTGGGTCGTGGGTGGGTCCCGGGTGGGTCGCGGGGAGGGTCGCGGGGTGGGTCGTGAGTGGGTCGCAGGCGGGTCGCGGGCAAGGACGCCGACAACAGACAAGCAGAATCGGCGGTGGACAAACCTCCCTTTACTAAACCTCCCTTTAGTGAAAAAAAGCCTAGGACCGAAACCGACGGAGCTGGACCCGCAAAAATGACGGCCGCGACGCCCTCTCGCGAACCGAAGACGGCCAATTCGCTAATCGACGTGTCAGGGTAGGAGGTCTATCAACCTCCAGCAGAATCCGCGCGGCGGAACTCCAATCCACCCACGCACCTACGGACAGCGAAAGACCGTTCGGCCCCCTCGCTCAGATGAGCAGATGAGTATACGAGTGCCTCTCTCCCCTCTCCCCCGAGGCTGTGCTGAGAGTGGCGCACCCACCTCCGCGCATTATTACCGAAGACTGATAGGTTTCTAGTAGTGCCAAAAAAGAAGAACATCTTGACTCCCCAGGGGGGTCTGGGCGGGTGCCAGGGAGAACCCGTGGAAGTCGTTTTAAGCAAACAGTTACACACTTCGTTGTCTTCGAGGTCCCAGAACTCCATTCCCAGGCCACATTCTGAATGCCCGGAGCCAACTGTAGCCCACTTCGTGGTCTTCGAGTTCCCAGAACTCCATTCCCGGGCCACATTTTGAATGCCCGGAGCCAACTGTAGCCCACTTCGTGGTCTTCGAGTTCCCAGAACTCCATTCCTGGGCATGATTTTGAATGCCCGGGGCCAACTGTAGGCCACTTCGTGGTCTTCGGGTTCCCAGAACTCCATTCCTGGGCATGATTTTGAATGCCCGGAGCCAACTGTAGGCCACTTCGTGTTCTTCGAGTTCCCAGAACTCCATTCCCGGGCCACATTTTGAATGCTGAGGCAGGCTGATGCTGAGGCTGAGGCAGGCTGAGGCTGAGGCAGGCTGAGGCTGAGGCCGAGGCTGAAGGCAGACTGAGGCTGAGGCTGAAGCAGGCTGAGGCTGAGGCTGAGGCAGGCTGAGGCTGAGGCTGAGCAGGCTGATGCTGAGGCAGGCTGAGGCTGAGGCTGAGGCTGATGCAGGCTGAGGCTGAGGCAGGCTGAGGCTGAGGCGAGGCTGAGGCTGAGGCTGAGGCTGAGGCTGAGGCTGAGGCTGAGGCTGAGGCTGAGGCTGAGGCTGAGGCTGAGGCTGAGGCTGAGGCAGGCTGAGGCTGAGGCTGCAGGCTGAGGCTGCAGGCTGAGGCTGAGGCTGCAGGCTGAGGCTGAGGCAGGCTGAGGCTGAGGCCGAGGCTGAAGGCAGACTGAGGCTGAGGCTGAAGCAGGCTGAGGCTGAGGCTGAGGCTGAGGCTGAGGCTGAGGCTGAGGCAGGCTGATGCTGAGGCAGGCTGAGGCTGAGGCTGAGGCTGCAGGCTGAGGCTGCAGGCTGAGGCTGAGGCTGCTGAGGCTGAGGCTGCAGGCTGAGGCTGAGGCTGAGGCAGGCTGAGGCTGAGGCTGAGGCTGAAGGCAGGCTGAGGCTGAGGCTGAGGCTGAGCAGGCTGAGGCTGAGGCTGAGGCTGAGGCTGAGGCTGAGGCTGAGGCTGAGGCTGAGGCTGAGGCTGATGCTGAGGCAGGCTGAGGCTGAGGCTGAGGCTCCTGCAGGCTGAGGCTGAGGCAGGCGGAGGCTGAGGCCGAGGCTGAAGGCAGACTGAGGCTGAGGCTGAAGCAGGCTGAGGCTGAGGCTGAGGCAGGCTGAGGCCTCAGCATCAGCCCTTCCGCTGCTTCCACTCCAGCTCCTGCTGCTGCTGCTGTTCGCCCTCGTCCTCCTCATTCCTCGTCCTCCTTTTTCCTCCTGCTCATCTTCGTTCTCATTCGCCACCTCCACCTGCCATGTGCGCAGCTCCCCTCTTCCGATGGCGCGCTGCAGGAAGTAGTTGTTTTTTTTTTTCTGGGTTCCAGGTCCGCTGAGAGTGGCACGCGTCAGCGGAGATGGGAAAGGGATGGGGGGGAGGGGTAGGACGTCAGACATGGCGCGAGCGCGCCTCTCTCTCTCTCTCTCTCTCTCTCTCTCTCTCTCTCTTCCCCCCCCCTCACCCTCCCGCGCCCTGCATCACGGCGACCCCCAGCTGAGCTGCGCAGCCGCGTGCCCCGCCGACGACGAGGAGGCGCGCGGCCGCGGCCTTGAGCGCATGGAACTTCTTCTGCTTCGGGGGCTTGGCCCCCTTGGCCTCCTGGCCCTCCCCCGGCGCCGTGGCGGCGTCGCCCTCCTCGTTCTCCCTCGGTGGTTGGGGCGGCGGAGCGGCGAGAGGTTCGGCCGGGGACGCGTTCCACTACTCGCAAATTAACGAGCAACGGTCCCTCTTGTTGCGGTGAATGATTCTAGCGAAACTCTGGACTCGTCGTGGCCTGAGGCTTTGCGAACTTGAAGGCACGATTTAAATTCACACTCTCCCCAAGGGTTGGGGGGGGCGGGAGACCGAGAGACAGCTTGAGCGGAAATGGCAGCAGGGGTGTTAGCGACAATGGTCGAAAACAAGAACATCACATGTGAGGCCCCTCTGCCCAACCCGTTCTAAAACCTCCAGAGCAACGGTCCCTCTTTTTGCGGTGAGTGATTCTAGCGAAACTCTGGACTCGTCGTGGCCTGAGGCTTTGCGAGCTTAAAGGCATGCCTTAAAACTCGCACTCTCCCCCGAACCATCCCAAACAAATCCAAGTAGGATGTTCTCTAGGGTGCAAAGAGAAAGGGTAGGAGTGAAGCGCTCTATTCTCTACTAGGCTTGCTATAGATGTTGAGACCATTGCATGTGCAAGCTGAGGAGGATATTCAGAAACGATGCGAATGCGACGGAGGCCTCCTGGCCCCGCGCCGCTGAGCTGCCAATGAGGCTGCTGCGTCCTGGAACAGATACAACCTTTTGGCCGGCCTCTACGGGTAAGCTTTATAATGCCTTCTTGATTTACATTAGCACGCAGGAGCCGAGTGGCCTTCTTCCATCCAGCTCCATATTGACACTGATCCAGTTCAACCAGCGAAGCGCGTTTATGGTGCGGGAGGTCGCACACTTCTGCAGTGTGCCACAGCCTGCTCGTCAAGGGGTGCTCAAGTATTACAGGGATCTCTAACTTCAAATACAACCTGAAGAGAGACAAGGCAACTCGATCGAGGCGATAGCCGAATTCCACTGCCATTGCGTCCGCTGGCGTCAGAAGAGAGGCTCGGAAGCCCCGCGGCATGTCCCGGCTGCGCACTGGGCGAGACCTGTCGCGCGCGAGGGAAAGGGTCTGACAGGGCGGTGCCATCGGTGCCGCGACCAGGCGGCCAGTCCGAGCGTCAGCTTTTATCGACCGCACCACGGCCGGCGACAGCAGGTCCTGCCACTCTGCATCGTGAATGACGCCCCAACTCCTCGCTCGCAAATCTTGGGCCTCTGCCGCGCGCGACGCGGCCCTGCAGCCGGCGAACAGGTCGGCGAGGTACTGGCCCTTCCCGAGGCGGGCTCGGCGGAGGCGGCCCAGAGAGCGTCCTCCGCGGTGCCCCAAGTGCAGCCGGCTCACCTTCGCCACATCTGCACCTCGTTGGGCCGGTCCGTCAGGATGAGCTCCAGCTGCCTCTCCGCCTCCTCGCACGTCGCACGCAGACGCGGGTCGAGCCTGGCGTAGTCGCTGCCCAGCCTGCTGCTGTGCTCGTAGCGGTGCATCGATTTCGCTTGCGTCCACTCCCCCCGCCGCTGCGCTGCGGTCAGAGTGCGCCAGCCCTTTGCCCGGTCGACGCTGGCGCCCGAGTGCCTCATCTGGCGCGGCGTCACAGGGCCCACCCCCAGCTCCGCCGCGGCCTCTTTGAGGAGCGCCGCCGCCTCGGGGCAGTCGAAATTCCACAGCGGCCCCTTCGATATCTCGCCGAGGCGAGCCGGCTGAACACCGCGTCCACGCCCTGGAGGTGCGGACAATCCAAGGGGCAGCCCTCGTGGAAGCGCCGGCGCTTGCTGGGCTTCTTCTGCTCCCGCGGGTGTGTCAGCAGTGCCCAGTCCCTGCTGGCTCCAGGTGTCGGCGGCGCAAGGTCGCACCGCCGGGCGGCCAACAAGGTCGACGGCCGCGCCTAGATCGATTCGCCCACCATCAGGAAGACAGCCAGGCGCAGGTGCCCCCGCTCCGCTCGCCCCCAGGTCAGCCCGCACCAGACAGGGATGGCCAAGGCCATCCTCCGCCGTGCACTGGCCTAGCACCATCTCCAGGGCCCGCCCTGTCGCTCGACCGCGGGCGAGCAGCCCGCCCGGGCCGAGGTGCACCTTCCAGAAGCGCCCTTCGCTCACGCCCGATCTCATCAGCTCGAGGTCGAGCTTGGCCCCGAGCGCCTCGCGCGCGCCCGAGGAGACGGTGCTCTCGTGCAGGTCCAGGCCCACCGCCTCGGAAAGGCCGGCCCAGTTCTCGAGGGCGCCCGTGGCGAGGCTCTCCGACGGGGCGAGCGCGCCCGCGTTGTCGACGTAGACGCAAGCGCTTCCGCGCTGGCCCGGCCCGACCTCCATCACGAGCGGGGGCCCGCGATCGCTCATCGGGGCCCGCTCCGAGAGGGCGGCGTTTCCTCCAGGCCAAGGGTCAGACCGCAAATCCCGCTCCTCGTTGGCGCCCTGCGCGAGAAAGAAGGGCCAGGAGAAGCCCATAGGGGGCGCCCCGATGCGCGGCGCGGGCAGGCTGAGGCGTCAGCCCCCAGCTGCGCCCCTTCCAGCCCCTGCCCCATCCAGCCCCAACACGTGGGCCGGGGCCGCCGGCAGCGCGAATAACTTCGCCAGGCTCAGCGGGATGCGCATCCTGTAGAAGCAGTCCTTGACATCCGTCATGACCTTAAGAGCTTGAAATCGCCCAGCAGCGCCTCGCCCTCCTTCGAGTCGACCGCGATGCCCTCCGGGAGCTGGACCTCCACCCTGCCGAAGCCCTCGCAGGACAGGAGCTGCGCGCTCGGGGGCGCGCCAAACCAGGCGTTCGCTCGGCGGGCATCCACGATCATCCGCATCTCGTCGCTGCCAGCCTTCTTCGCGAAGAACAAGCCCGCCTGCTCCGAAGGAGCCAGGGTGGCGAGCAGGGGCCCGCGAGACGAGAGATCCCTCAACAAACGGTGGTACATATTCCTGTTCCGCTTCAGCAGCGCGTCAAAGTGTGGAGTCGGCAGCCTGTCAAAATCGATCTCACTGATCGGCCACCTCATGCGCTTTTGATTCTCCTTCAGGTAGGCGCGGCTGGCCTCGCCCACGATGTCTTCCACCTGGCGGCAGCCGACGACCGAAGGGGGCAAGCGTGCGCGGCCGCGGAGGAAGGAGGCCAAGTTCCTCGGGGAGCCCGACGTGTCGTAGATCGAGCACCCCTCGAGCAACGCACTGAGCGCTGCCCCTCGGGGCGGACAGGGGCAGGGAACTGCGGCTTGGCGCCGAAGTGCTTCGCTGACCACCCACTGCGCAATCCCAGCATGCTTGCCCCCATGGCGCCGAGGGAGCGCGGCGGGCCCACGGCGTCAGGCCCCCATCCAGCAAGCCAGTTGAGAGAGTCGATCGCGCCGTTCGCCAATTCATGCTCGCGCCGCCGCCGAGCGCCAGCGACGCGGGCGCGGCTGCCGCCCCAGCGCTGGCCGGTGGCCTGGCCAGGCGAGGGAGTGGGAACACGTCTCGATCCCCGCTCGCCAGGGCCAGCGGCGCGCGCCGGGCCGCAATTGTTGCCCAGCCGGCGGGGGCCCACTCCACCGGCCGTGTCTGATCAGGCATGACTGTGCGGGCGGCGCGTGGGCGCGTGCTCGGGACTTGTTTCCCCGGCCGCCCCCGCCGCCGCCCCTGCCCCCGCCCTTCGCCTCGCCCTCGGGCACCTCGCGCGAGCCCCGCGCGGCTGCCGCGCCCGCGGCGACCCCCTCAGCCCTCTTGTCCCCCTGCATCAGCTCGCACTCCTCCTCGCGTGCGAGCGGAGGCCGGGGGCCATGAGCTGGTCGACCTCTGTCAGCGGCGACAAGTACTTTGCGTTCGAGTACGAGGCCGCGCCGCTAGTCTTGCGCGCGTCCACCGGGAGGTTCAGCCGGAGGGCCGCGACCTCCAAGCACGCAAGTCCTCCTAAGTTCCACTGATCGAACTCGCCAGCTTCAAGATGTCGCACAGAGCTCGGAGTTCGTGAGCGACTCGATCCGTCGAAGCGATCCCCTTCTCCCGCTTGCAAGAAGCGCTCCAGCTAAGACCGAGGAGACCCATTCAAATTCACCATCATCTTGCACGTGTGCAGGCAGGTGCAGTCGGCTGAAAGCCGGTTGCGGTCCCACGCCACGCTCGAGCTCTCCGCCACCGCCCTCTTGAACTCCTTCCGCCTCTCTCCTTGCTCGTCCCAATCGACCCACAGCGTGCGCACGTCATTGACCAAATCGTCGCTGGGCCTCTGACCAGGGGTTCTTCAGGAGCGAGGCCCAGACGCTCGGCGAGGCGGTCGGTGAGCGGCAACCAGCCCGCGGGAGAAGCCGGTGGAGGGGTCGCCGTGCCCTCCACCGGCTCCGCCCCCGCTCCGGCCCCGGGCGGGACGCCGAGCGCGACCCGCAGCTCGTCAGCCCGCTGGGCCGCGTAGTCGACGACCCTGTCCTCGTCCACCTGCTCGAACCTCGCCCAGCGCCCGCAGCCGTCTAGCCAGCACAGCGCCTGCGCCCCATCCCGGAGCGCGCCCCTCGGCAGCGGGTCCACCAAGGTGCCGACTGGCATGTCAGGGAGGGGCTCCGCCAGCACCCGCGGGCGCCTGACAGCCGCCCACGGGTACAGCTCCAGGCCTGGGCGTTTCGCTCCGTCGGCGGTGACCACGCTCCGCGGCTCCTTCGCCTCGGCCTGGCCCCGCTTGAGCATCGTCTCCCGGCGCTCTCCTTGATGCTCGGGCGCCGGCGGAACCGGTAGAGCCGGCAGGGTCCCCCGTCGCCTGATCCAGGAACGACCCGCCCGATGGCCCTGTCGCGGGGTTCCTCCCGCTCAGGTCCTCCTCCCACACGTCGCCGTCGGCCCAGAGCACCCAGTAGCCCGCGCGGCCGCGGAGGTGCCCTCGACGCCCTCTCTTGCGGGCCGGCCACATCACCACCCGCATGTGGTCCATGGACTCGCCCGCATACGAGACCCGGACCACCGCGCCGACCGCCACGTCAGCACACCACCCCTCCTCCGCGGCGAGCGGGGGCAGGGGACGGCGTGCGACCATCATCTTCGCGAGCTCGGCGGCACCGGCAGCACTGCAAGGCTCGCGCGGCCTCCAGCACCAGCGCCGCGATCACACCCGGCGCCGCGGCGACCACCCAGCCCACGGGGTCGGGCTCTGCCCCGCCGTCGGGCGCCTCCGCCAGCGCGCAGACCGGCGGCGCCGCCGGGCACGGCGGTGCCTCAGGGCACGCCGGGCAAATCTCGCCCGGGTCGGGCGGCAGCCACGCGGGCGGGCACACGGCCTCCAGCGCGCACGACGGCAGGGATGGCTTGGGAGGCGGCCGCGGGCCACCTGGCAGGAGGGCCGCCAGGTGAAGGAGCCCCACCGCGAGCAGGGCGAGGAGGGTGGACGGCTGATTCATCTCAGACCGAAAGACAGCTTGAGCGGAAATGGCAGCAGGGGTGTCAGCGACAATGGTCGAAAACGATAACATCACATGTGAGGCCCCTCTGCTCAACCGTTCTAAAACCTCCATGCTCGCAAACGGCCTGGATTCGCCGCGGGGGGTCTGTTACAAATCAGGCAGGTTTTTTGTTTGTCTCGGGAGTTTGCGAAGAAGGCACTTTGCGAGTAGTGGAACGCGCTCGGTGATGTACACAGGCGTCTGGGACGACGTTTCGTGCCGAGCGAAGAGGGCCTGCATCTTGACAGAAAAGGAGCAGCTGGGCTGCCGTCCGTGGGGGCTGGCGGGGCGGGAAGAGAGTATTTCACTGAAGGAACGGCTCCGCCTTATGCCTTGTGGCCCCCAAGGCGCCTGGGTGCACGAGGAGCGAAGAAAAGCTGCCAATACCTTGTCAGGACCGGGCTGATGAGGACCGCTGGTGGTGTTTTCAGTAGGCCGCTCGCGTTGCAGTAGCGAGCGGTCTCTGAGCAGGTCGGAGCTAATTCATTTAGAACACCATCTTCCGCGGGACGCGGAGCTCAAGGCTGCGCGCAGATATCCAAATGGATCGGAGGGCGCGCGAGGAGGAACGCTTGACTCCCTCACCACCTTGCCCCTCTCGTCGGCCTAGATATCCCCTCTGCTCCTTAGGTCCCTGCCTCCTGGGTCTCGTCCAGCCAGTGGTGCATAACTCCCGCACCACCGCCCAGCACGCTTTTACCATCGCAACGGCGCCCAGCGGCGAGGTGAAGAAACGACGAAGACGACGGGACGAGAGAGCGCGAGACAGACAGAGAGAGAGAGAGAGAGAGCGAGAGCGAGAGAAGCAGAGAGAGAGAGGGGAAGCATGGCGACCGCGCCGCCGCCCCCCGGAGTAGCAGCTCCATGGCCTGGCCGCCACTTGGACCCGCGGCCGCCGGCGTGCGCTGCTGTCAGCAGCTGCAGCAGCAGCAGCAGCAGCAGCAGCAGCAGCAGCAGCAGCAGCAGCAGCAGCAACAGCAACAGCAGCAACAGCAGCAGCAGCAGCAGCAGCGGCAGCAGCGCGGCCTGCGGAGGCAATCCCGGGGCCCAGCCGCCGCACGGCCGGCTCGTGAGCACGGCCAGCATGGGAGCCACGGTGGGCCAGGCGCCGCCGCGTGCGGCCACCAGGCGCCGCCCATGACGAGTGCCCGCGCCGCGGCGGCCTTTGCAGCACGGGGGCGCGTGGGAGGCGCTGCGCCTGCCCTACGACGGCGCCCCTGCCGGCGGCGCCACAGCGGCAGCGCGGGCCGCCGCGTCCCCCACTCGTGGCGCCTGCCTGCGGCGATGCCCAGGCGCCGCCCAGCGTCGCCGCGCCCGAGGCCCGCCCGGGCCAGCGCTACCGTGGTTGGCCTTCAGGGCGGGCCAGCTGCACGGCGGCCACCGCGCGCTGGACCACCGCGAGCTCCTCCAGCTGCCGCATGCGCTACGGGAGAACGGCCAGGGCGGGAGCCGGGCCTGAGCGCCAGCGTGGGTGAGCGGGTCTGCCGCGTCGTCTCCGGCCCAGTCTGCCTTCGATGTTGCCCGAGCACGCACTCGCTCGCTTGTCGAGCGTGGGTAAAAGGGTGCGGAGAGTTGCGTGCGCGAAGTGCGTATTTCCGCCAACAGCGCAAACATGAATGCTTGGCCGCCAGGCCACCCGGAAAAAGACGTGGTGACACCGACTGGTGACCAAGATGGCACGCGGCAAATGTTTGCGCAGTGATGCTCGCCGTGCCATACATAGAGACCTGTCTGGAACCTTGCGCATCGGGATGGTCATGTTGTATGAAACAGGAATAGGAATGAACCCATGGGTTCCCCTATGCAGTGTGTGGAGAGGAAGAGTAGGAGGAAATAGGAAATTACAGCCGAATGCACCTCGCCTACGTCCAGCTGGAGATACAGATCGTTCCCTGTGGTGTACTTACCCTCCCCAACCCCTCCGCATCTTCCCTGACCCCACCAAACAAAAAATCATCTGCTGCGCCTCGCCTGGAGCCCTCAGGAGATCGCGGGGGATCGTCCAGAAAGGAGCCCTGAGGTCCAAGCGAAGACACAGAGGATAACATTTCCCTCCTGAGGCGGGGGCGGGGGACCGCTGCTAACTGCCCCCGCGAGGGGAAGCAGCATGGGCACGTGGCCATGCGTCTCCGCCCATCTCCCCCCCCCCGCGCGCGCGCAGCGGGAGCTGAGGAGTGCGCTGTGACTTTTGCTTCTTGGTCTGCTCGTTGTCCTTGCCGTCCTCCGTCCTCTTGCGCTTCTTCTCCAACTGGGCGGGGCCGCATGTATCGTTCCAACATGAACGAGCGCGCACAAAACCGTCAGTCCTGGCACGTGGCGCGTCGTGCAGCTGATATCATAGATTATCGCTATGTGTTTGTTTGTTGTTGTTGTTGGTGTTGTTGTTGTTGTTGTTGTTGTTGTTGCGGTTGTTGTTGTTGTTGGTGGTGTTGTTGTTGTTGTTGTTGTTTGATGTTTCTCTCCCTCTCTCTCTCGACTGGGCGATCGAGGACTAGCTGGATGCTTGTTTATTCTATCTCAAAAGCAAAGCGGTTACGTGCTAGGCACCAGCCTTGGGGTCTGCTCAGCTCTTCTGACCCAACAAGATGATGTCTCTCTATATATACATATATATATATAGATATATAAATATACACATCACTTTTGTTTCTATCTCCCTCTCTCTCTCTTTCTCTCTCTCTCTCTTTCTCTCCCTCGCTCCCTCTCGCTAGATCCAACTCTCCATCTGCTATCAACTCGTGATTCAGCCATATGTGAGAAGACCGCAGGGGGGGGAAACGTACTCTTCCCTACCACAGATCGAAATACCAACCATGTAACATCAATCGAACCGCAAACCATAATCATACGACCTCTGCGAATGCAGACATCACGTCTCACTACATGGATGGCAGAGAAGGTCTGTGTCAATGCGTCCCAGCGCGATCGTGCCCCCGTGGTGCTCTGCCTGCCACGTATCTACGCACGCGATTACTTGTTCCGACGTGCATGCCGTGCATGCCGGGTCGTCGTCGCGCGCGGATATACACGAATCCTGCTGGACGTCGAATTGCACTTGGACGCTCGTTCGAGGTGAGGGCGAAACGTGTATGCAGTTCTTGGCGGCACGCGCAAAAAGGTAGAAGGAGGGGGAGGCGCTTTAGATAGAAGGCGCCCGCCGCCCTTCGAAGAAGCCAGGGGCGCGCCGCTTGTAGAAGCACCCAAGCAAGCTTCTTAGAAGCACGGAACTGCTCATTAGGAGTACAAACAGCCCCTTGAAAGCAAGCAACTTGCTTCTTGCTTCTTAGAAGCACGCCAGAAACAGCTTCTAAGAAGCAGCCACAAGCTTCTCAGAAAGGGCGCCCGCGCCTTCTAAGAAGGGAGGTGCAACTAAGAAACCTTTTCACCCCTCTGTGCGTGGCCGAACTTCGTTCTGACCCACCGGCCTGACCTCACGATGTCGGGGGGGGGCTAGGCCAGCCTTCCTCCGTCCGGCGCGGTGGCAAGGGGACGGTGGAAGAGGAGCACCAGCAGGAGCAACATGAGAGGCGTGCCCCGTAGGAGGGCAACGGCCTCTGGGGGGCAGGGGGGGGGGGCACGACAGACCCTTCCCCCCCTCGACGGGAGTGGCGGCTGTACACCCCCTTCGCCCAGCCAAGGCCTGCCCCGAGCACAGCCGTCAACGCTCTTCGGCAGGTATCGGCAACAGGCCGTGGGGGCACGGAGGCCGGCTGGCTTCGGCTTTGGCTCTGGCGTGGGTCCATGCCGCAGCCGCCCCGCAGCCTGGCGGCCGGCATGCGCCGCCCTGGGCCTGGCAGCACGAAGCCGGAACGGGCCTGGGGCTGGGTCGTGGTGGGGTGTTCGCGGTGCTGGAGCGGTGCTCGCCTGGCGCTTGTCTGCCTACCCCAGCCCGCAGCTGTCCAGTGCAGGGATAGGGTGTGACGGGCGGCGGCGCGTCGGCGGCGCCAAGCTTTAATGGGCCTTGGGCGCAGTGGGCCGCCTCCTTATTGCAGCGGCAGAGAGGAGGGGTGGCGGTTGGGCGCGCTGCTAGCAGGTGCGTGGCCATGCGTGGCATTGTGCTGCCAGTCAGGTTGGCGCTGCTGGCTTACTCAATGACAGTCTGCTGAGTGTATTTGGCGTGCTGCGGGGATGCAGCAGAGCTGGCAGATTGAATGCTCGCATTGGCTGGTCCAAGGCATTCTCCTGACAGCGGGGTGTTGTTCAAAAACTTGTGCGGAAGCGCCAGCATACAGCCTGCGCCAGCCGATATGGTGCCTCCTGTGGCTGACCGCTTTGTAGGATTCAACGACTTTGGTTTCACTGTGCCGCTCAGGCTGTCTGCACTCTCTGGAGCCTCCTGCAAAGCTGGGAACGCAAAGCCACTGTCCGAGGTGAGGGTTATCTCGTGCACGACAAAAAACGACGCCAAGCTGGGCGGCAAAGACAGAGGATGCGGCTGTGGTAATTCGCACCTCCTCCGACCCCCTCGTACAGGGACGGGAATCGGGCGTCTAGCACTGCAGCTCGGAGGGCCCCTATCCGACCTTCTTGCCTCTTCAGCCATCCGCCGGGTGAGGCTAAGAGAGCGGCCCTAGAGCTCGATTGCACCTCGTTCTCACATCCTTCCGCCTGTGTTGAGTTGTTTCAATGCGGGCGCGCCTCACCTCGCTTGGGCGCTACAACGTCGTACTCATATTGACACACCTGTTCCATGGTGCAGTAAGCTGCGCGCCCATAATATTGTTGTGACGTTTGCGCCGTGCTTTCGAACCGAAATATTTTGAGAAGCGGGCCATCGCTGGGTCGAAGTGCCATGCCACTGCTGGTAGAACTGGTCTCCATCGCTAGCTGATGTGCCCGACCAGTGTGCGCCTCCAAAGTGGTGCTCGAACGGTTTGGGAGAGCTGTCCAAGGCTTCAAGATGGCCTGACGAGGCCAACCAGGCCACACAAATGGCCCAGCATTGCCTGAACGGGGCACCTTGCACACCCCCAGAAAAAAAAACCTGAGCGGAGCCAACACGGCCTCAAGACGCGTTCAAAACATCAAAAAGGTGACTCCAAGGGACACTACAAGAATGCCAACATCATGACAACAATGGGGACGCCCACAAGTTTTCGAATACGTTGCGCTTCCAAGGCCTCTCGGCTCCAGATGGTTCCAATATGGCCTCGGAGCGAACGAGGAGCCAAACAAGGCCAGCGACGGCTTGTAGAAGCCCCCTAGGCGCCCCAAGATGCCCGAAGCTGGGCCCAGGCCCCAAGAAAGCCCAAACGCGCTCCAAGAGCTCCAAATATAATTCCAAGATGATTCCCAGACGATCGAGAGAGGACCAAGACGGCATGCGAGAGCCCCAAAACGATCCAACAGGGTTCCAAAAGAACCCTGCAACGGCATGCCACAGGATATCCCGGCGTGCTACGTGGGCTGGGGCGACGGGCGCTCTCCTGGCCAAGGGGGGAACGGACCTCCGAGCAACGGCCCCAGACATGCGACGTCCTGATTTCAGGACGGCGTCCCTGGAAGGCCTGACCCTTTCCCGGGGACCGGTTTTTCGTCCTGAGTCGTTGTTTGACGGTCCCGGGGCCCGGCGAGGGCCTCGGGCGGAAAATAGCGAAAAAACGCCTGTCCTGGTTTTTTTGTTACGACGCGATCATGTCTGGGTCATCCCATCTCATCCTCCTTCCCTCCCTCCATCCCCCTCCACCCACGTGCCCCCTTTCCCAGGGGTGCCGAGAATCGTCCCCGTCAAACGGTACGCAGAGTCAATCACCGTGCCTGCTCTGCCGCTTCTCGAGAGGCAGGAAGCACAAAGAGGGAGAGGCGCCTCCGCGTCAGTCTCTGCTGCTGCCTGAGGCGCCAGCCCAGTGCTCTGGGCGACGACAAGATGCTCTGTGCGACGACATGATGCTCTTGGCGACGTAGTTACCAGTGCATAGTTGCCGCCCGAACGCAAACACACACTCAGACACTGTTCCTCCAACGAGGCGGTGAAGGCAGTCACTGGGTTAAGCAATGACTGGTCCTATTCAAAGCTAATCGACCACCTTGCGTGAGAGCGTCAACCGGAAGGCGGGACCACTGAGCGGTAAAGTCAAGTGCATGCAAAAGCGAAAGTAAGCACGCACAATCCTGGACGCTGTTTGGAGGCACCCCGGGGTCTCAACTTCGCCCCCCCCCCAGACCGGACGATGCCCTTCTGTCTGGTCGCCAAGGATCTTGTTGAGCGACCAAGCACTGAGACACACTGAGACACACATTGTGATTGGCATGCATCTGAATCCACTTCGCTACCCCCGAAGGATGGTAAGCGAACCCCCGCCCAAGATGGCCAGAGGCACCCAAGAGGTTGCTAAGAAACCTGCTGGAAGGCGCAAGAGACCCGCAGTACTACCCAAGAGGCCTATCAGACATAAGACGCCGTACGAGGGCCACCAAGATTGCGGAAGAGCCCCTAAAGGGCATCCAAGAAGCGCCCAAGGGCTTCAAACACCCCTCTCAATCAGGGTGCCGCCCAAATGTCTCCACGGCATGGATATCTCTCTTCTACCATCCTTCACTCAATATCCTTCTTCTTGTCCTCCCCATACTGCGCAATATTCGCTACCAAGCTGCATGAGATCAAGCGATGACAACACGGCCAGGGCTCTACAAGACCATTCCAGGCCAAGCGACATTATAGCATACAAAATGTGGAGAACAGGAAGGCAAAACAACGGTGGCGATGTCCTCTTCCTCTCCTCCTCCCCTCTGCCTGCCTGGACGTCCTCACTCTCAACTTCATTATGCTCCTACCCTTATATCCCCTCATCCGTTATCCCCTCATCCTCCTCTTTCTCCTGCTCGTCTTCCTCCGCCCCATGCTCTTTCTACCTCCTCGCTGTTCCTTCCTCCTCCTGGTTTATTGCTGCGTATGCCTGATCCCCCACTGCGCCTGCGGCACGTTGGAGAGTGTTGAAATGGTTGTTGGATCACTGGTAGGTTACCCTCCCCCTCCGCGGAAAGACCATGGTCTGAATCTCGTCATCCTGTGTTTCGCTCTCTGGCTCCATGTTCGTCCTCAAGACGGCGCCACGATGGCTCAACACTGCCTGAAAACAAGCCCTCAGAGCGCCCAACGACGCACCACCGAACTCCCGAAAGCTGGAAGATCTCCATAAGATGCCGCAACAGGCTCGCAGTAAGCCGCCAAGAAACGCGCAAAGAAGCATTCAGCGTTGGCCCAAGACACAAACACACAATTAACAAAAGCATCCGTGTCTGTTGCTTCCGAAGCTCTTCGGAAACTGAGACGGCCCAACATTACCCCAAGAGCGCACCAAGACTACCAGAGAAGCCACCAAGACTCTCCCAGACGTGCTCCAGACGATTTGAGCCAAAGGTGCTCGGGAGAACTCTGTGGAATCATCGCGCCCAAGACGGCCCCCCGGGACATACGACGCCCCCCAGGTGCCTCCGAAAGGACGGATCAGGATGGAAGATGAGCACGAGGCTGCGGACAAGGAAGGGGTTTGTTCAAGACCCGCGCCCGTTCAAACAGGGCGCCGAGCTGGGGCGGGTGTGCGCTGGCATCGTGGAGCTTGCCGCATGTAGCTGGGTCCCTTCCTCCTCCTGCCTCCTCGCGGCAATGAACGCATTCTAACTTGATGCGGGACCCTGTCGCCAAGGGGGGAAAGGGGAGGGCAAGGTAGACTCTGATACAGCCAACACGCAGCCCCCGAGATGTCCCACGCTGACTCCAGAGAGTGTGGGTGCGAAACAAACTCTTGAAAGGCTGGTGGGTGTACGCGAGGCGAGTGCCATTTCTACAAACGCCGATGGCAAATAATAGTAATTCACACATGAGCCGAACAAGCACGGAAGGTTCAGCGACCCCTTGTACTCAATGTGTTGCAGCGTTCGGTGCGGAGCCCCCATCGCATCGCAACTCACAATGCGTCGCAACAGCTCAGAAGAGAAGTGACGTGAGCGTGGGAGGACGCGCGGAGCGAGTGGCTTCAGCACCTGCGCAGTCTTCAAGCTCGGATGCGCCGAAGAGGAGGGCCAGGAAGAAGGGGGGCGCTCGTCTTTCCTCCCCTCCTGGATGCCCCCGACCAGCCACGTCACGGTGGCGCACCCCCTCTCTTCTGAGGAGGGGCGGGGTGGGGCCCCTGCAGCGGAGCAGCGGCCCGGTGCCCCGAGGGCCTCCGTCGGTTTGTCGCCGCCCTCCCCAGCCGACCTCGGGGTGGCGTGGCCGATCGGACCGACGGCCGCATGCAGGGTTTGGAGCCCAGGAGGAGCCTTCACTCTTCACTCAGTGAGACAGGGGGGGGGGTAGGGAAGACGGAGTTCGCGAATCAGCACAACGTAGATGGTTTCTCCAGCGCCTCTCGGCGTCCGAGGCGGCCATGACCGGTTGCATGAAGCAGATTTCGTACTCCCCCCTTTCCCTAAGCCCCCCTGCTTCCTGCGACCCCACAAACGGGGTGGGAGCTCAGGCGCGAGCGCAATGACCTGGTACGGCTGGACGGCGCCAAGTATATACCTACACTGGTCTTGGCAAGGCCCACCGTGGGGACCCATGATCGGTGTATGAGCCCTCCTGGCTTGGCCGGGAAGACGTATACAGCAGTCCAGGTCTCAAGATCGGCCTGCTTCATATCGGTAGCGGTGTAAAGCTGGCGTGGAACAGCCACATAAGCCAAGGGTGCACAATTCGCGAGCCCTGATTGCGTACAACGATAGCGACGCGATGCTGTCCCACAACATGCATCGGAGAAGAGCCGGGCCAGCCAAAAACACAACGCGAGAATAGGAGGACATAACGGGCCAGGATGCAGTGTGGAGATAAGCTTTCGGCCCAAGCGGCTTGTGTAATTCACGCGAAGGTGAGCCGAACGACAAAAAACATGAATTGACACAGGAACAGGCGAAGGAGCAGACGCAGGAGGAGAAGGATGAGGAGGAGGAGGACCAGTGCAAACCCAAGACCCAACGATGTTGTACTAAACCCTCCTTCCAAGCTCCCTATTCAAGGGCCCCGCATGAGGGTTCGCTTCCAATGAGACAGCCGTTTGAAGATCCTGAAGCGTGCCAGAACACCATTCTCGGGACTTCGACGCCTCGAATCAGCTTGACTGTTGCGTGCCTGTTGCCGATGATCCTAAATTTAGGTCGTGTCTGCCCCCCTACAGGGGGATTTTGGACGAAAAATGAAAAAATACCCCAAACATACTCCAAAGTATTAAGACAAATACTCAACAAATAGTCCCCAAACTATGTTTGACTATTTTTGAATATTCCTCCTGTAGAGGGACGGGCCCAACCTCATCCTAAATCATTGTGGTACGCATTTTCCTGGGACTGCAGCACCGCGAGTCAACGTATAACTGTTGCGCCCTGGCTGGCCGCCTGCATCGGTCTAGAGCACGATATTTCTCTGGTACGCTCCCCATGGGAACCCGCGAAACTCTTGAACATGTCTAAGACGAATGTGCGCGGCACTTCGGTGAGAATCGACTTTTGCAACAAAAAAAGAAACAACAAAAAACTCACTCAATCCGTGAAGCTCCCGCATGTTTTAAACGAGTGTGCGCGTCGCTGCAACGAGAACCACATTTTGAAACGGAGCTGGTCTCAACCCGTGATATGTTTTGCAATGTTTCAAAACGAATGTGCTCGGCGCTCTGGCGAGAACCACATTATGACACCCAAACAACCCTCAATCCATTGAACGTTTGCCGGTTGCTGCAACGAATGTGCGCGGCGCTCCTGCGAATCTCTTGCAACGTTGAACAGCGAATGCGCGCGGCGTTCAGGCAAGAGCCACATTTTGGAGGCGGCACGCCCTGCATACTCCAGATTTCGTAATAAAAGGGGGTATGGACCCTCCAAGACAAGCCATTTCAGATCTCTCCCGTGGGAGAACCCTCCGAAACATCGTCCCCAGACCCCCCCAGGCCCTCCAAGATAGCCTGGAAGAGACACCCCCCCGAAATGAGACCCCCTCCCTTTATTACGAAATCTGGAGTACGTGAAGCTGTTGTCGAAGTTTCAGCTTAAAGCTCACGGATGCTAAGGAGGTCTCGAGCGAGGCTGCATGAGGCTGTACTGTAGGCAATCGGCCCATACTGAGCTTGCCACACTGGACCGACTGGTCAGGGTATTTCCTGAGCGAGGCCTTCTACAATTGCAAACTTCTTGCGTCGGCTGAGCTACGGCGACGCTCGCGCCCCCCACCACGATGCAAATTAAAGAAACAAAGATCGAAATTCCGACGACGGCAGCAGCCACACACTAGGACCGTTGCCAAGTCGTCCGTCCACGCCCGAGCAAAAACTTCTGAAATCCACATGCGAAAAACTGTGCAAGACCAAATCATCGGAGGTTGGGGGGTGAGATCGTAGTGGAACGGAGAGCCCCCCACCGGGAATCGGTTTCGGTTTCGTGTTCGTGCGTGCCGTGCGTGCGGGCGAGGCGAAGCTGCGTGGGCGGGCGAGAAGAAAGTCTCCTGTGGCTGAGGCGCGGCCAGACCAAATGATTCTCCCTCCGGCAAGCGATGGCGCGCGGTGTCCCGCCGGTGTCCCGCTGGTGCGAAAACGACAGTGAGACCGATGACGAAATTGATTGTGGCCTCCAAGAGGCCCCTAAGAGGCCTCCAAGACCCCCCAAGAGGTCCAAAAGACGCGCCCAAACGGCCCCCTAAGCCCTTGCAAAATGAACTAAATAAATTAGTATTTCGTTGGTTCCCGGGGAGGGGAGAATGATACCAAGGCGCCCAAGAGCGAAGGATGACGTAAACAACTCGACACCAAGGCTCCCAAGAGCGAGCGGCAACGCAACAATCACCACTGTTGCCCATTGCTGGCCCCCCTCCCCCCTCCAACCTCCTTGTCATCCGCAGGGTGGTCGCATAGGTAAAAAAAACGAAAAACAGCGAGCGGCTGGACGGGGCAATCTTGGCGAAAACCAAGACATTGACGACCCTGACATTGGATGTGGCAAACATTGTCCCGACACCGCGCCCTGACTCCGACGGTCGGACCCCGCATGGGATCAGTCCTGCTCTCTGCTGCGGTCTCTGCTGCTCTCTGCTGCTCTCTGCTGGTCTCCGCTGCCGTCATGCGGCCCGGGCTGGTCTCTGCTGCTCTCTGCTGGTGCCTGCCGCTCTGCTGCTGCTCTCTGCTGGTCTCTGCCGCTCTGTGCCGGCTCCTGCTGAGCTCTTGCTGCCCTCTGCTGGTCTCGGCTGGTCCCTGCCGGCCTCGGCTGGCCTCCGCCGGTCTCTGGTTCCCGCTGCTGACCTCTGCTGCCCTCTGCTGCTGGTCTCTGCTGTCCTCTGCTGATCTCTGCTAGTGCCTGCTGCACTCTGCTGGTCTCTGCTGGTCTCTGCTGGTCTCTGCTGGTCCTTGCTCCTCGGAGACGGGGGTTCGCGCTCGAGACTTTCTCAAGATGCCAGAAGGAGGGGATCCCGCTCGAGATTTCCTCGCGATTCACTCACACACGACGCCTCCGCTCGAGACATCATCACGATCTGCCCCCTGGGGTGCTCAAGAGCGATGGCGATTGGAGTACGCCGATGATCCGCTCGGAAGTATAATGAATCGCAGGTCCCATTTGGGAAGGGGTTCTCGAAAGAAAAGTCCTCGCGATTCACTGGCAGACGAGGCTCCCGTTCGAGATGTCCTTGCGGTGGCACGCTCGGATCAAAACCATGAGATCGGGACCCAATTGAGTGGGAACTCCCGCTCGAGACGTCCTCGCGATTCACTCACACAGAAAACCCCCGTTCGAGACATCATCACGATCTGCCCCCTTTGAGCGCTCAAGTGCTATGCCTGCTACAGGACGAAGAACCCCACTTCGGATGTGGGGAACGGTAATGGTCAATGCCCCATCCCGCCATCCAACATGCCAATCGAATTCGCGACAGAGCTGGTGCCCAACAGAAGGACATGTGGCTCGGAAGCCCAAAATATAGGTACGCCGTCGATCGCGACACGTCAACATCCTCGGCAGCGTCAAGCAACACGTGTGTCACGACGACCGCTGCCTCGCCCGAGCTTCGCCCCGAGCCGGCCCCTGCCCGAGCATCCCCCTGGACCCGCCATAGAGACGGGGTGCCGGAGAGGTTCCGTCTGTGGGAATGACGAGCGGGCGGGGAGGAGAGGGGAGAGAGCCATCGGGAGGAACGGGAAGGGGGGGGAACGGGGGGGAGGGAAGCGGGAGGAGGAATGGGAAGGAGGAGTGGGAAGGGGGGATGGGAAGGGGGAGGGAATGGGAAGGGAGGAGTGGGAAGGGGGGAATGGGAAGGAGGAGTGGGAAGGGGGAGGGAGGCGGGGGGAGGGGTGGGAGGGAGGGCGGAGGAGTACGGAGGAGAGAGGGGGGGGGAAATCTGGCCACGGATCAGGCACTGTAATCTAAGTTCCGGGGCATCTCTTCCACGGCCCCCGCGATTGAGAGGAGCTGGAAACAGGGAGGATGGAGGACGAAGTACTCCTCGGCCTCCTCTTGCTCATTCTCATCCTAATCCTCCTCTCTCTTCCCGTCTTCCTCCACCAACTCCCATGCGTGAACTCCGATGCCCGCCGGATTCCGACCAACCACAGCTGGGGTAGCTACCTTGCTTGATCCTGTGCGGGGACCAATCGTATCGCGACGATCTCTCAACAAGGATGTCCAAGCCGACAGGTCCCCCAGGGGGGGGGGGGGGCGAGGAACACAGCTCCCCCAATTGTAGCCGCCCTGCGATTCTAAATCTGAATCTGACAATGTTGACGCCTCGCAATTTACCGCCGCCGCCTTCCGCCAGCAAGCCCGCGGCCAATTGACTTCGCCAGCTGCCGCCGGCCTCCGCCAAAAAGCGAGACGCGCCGCAGGCCTTGCCCTGGGGCCCGGGCGGCCTGGGCGGAGGGCCTGGGCCGCCCGAAAACGACGCAGAAGCCTCGAGATCCAATTCCCTCGGGGCCCGCTTACAGCCCCCCCGACTGTGGGCGGCCTGCGACCGCCACACACGCTCACACCCACACACCCACACCCACACACGCGCACGCGCACGCGCACGCGCACGCGCACACACGCACACACGCACACACACACACACACACACACACACACACACACACACACCCGTCCCCTCACGCCCCCTCCTGCCCCCGTCGAATCGAGCCCTCGTGCACGTGGCGAGGTCGGGCGAGCGCCCGCTCCCGGCCCCCAGTCGCGAGGGGCAGGCCGGAGAGGCTGAGCGGCGGACATCGAGGGCCGCCCGTGGGAAGCCAGCCGCCAACGCCCCCCGTCCCCCAGACCTCCTCGCGCCGTGATCAAAAATCAGGGGGGCGTAAGACCCGGGCACAGGGGACTCGGAACTCCCCGACGGGGTCGTCAAAAAAGTGACGAGGCCGAGCCTGCATTTTGACGAGGCCTCCCGCTGCAGACATCCCACGAAACTCCTACTCGTCAAAATCCGAGTCGCGGTCGTCAAAAAACGATGGCGAACCCGAGTCCTGGCAAACCCAGGTCTTACGCTCCCCCGATCTGGCAGCCTTCGGCCTCCTCTGGGGGCCCCTACCGGGCCCCGGGACCGTTCAAAGACTACCTGGGATGAAGAACTGGTCTTAGGTCGGGCCTGTCCCCCTACAGGGGGATTTTGTGTGAAAAAATACTCAAGAAATGCCCCCCACACATTCGAAAATAGTAAAAATTCGTCCCCAGATAATTTTTCCCAATTTTTGAAGATTCCCCGTAGATGGACAGGCCCGACGCAAAACTGGTCCCTGGGATGGCAAGCCGCGCTGCGAGACAAACACGGCGTTGGAGGTCTGGGCCCTGGCCTGAGCGGGTTGCAGAACGGAGAGGAGGACGAGCCTACGCTGGAGGAGGGCCCGCTGCGGCGGCGGCAGTCGATCACGCCGCCGCTGGTCGCGCTTCTCCGTCCCTTTTTGCCCTCCCTCCGCCTACCCCCTCATGCTCATCCTTTCCGACCCCCATCCGTCGTCAAACCGCACTCTGTCCCTCATTATCTCTCTCTCTCTCTCTCTCTATTACACTCTCTCTCTCTGTCTCTCTCTCTCTCTTTTTTTGTCTCTCTCTCTCTCTCTCTCTCTCTCTCTCTCTTCGTATACATACGTCTATTTTTACAGGCCGGGGACCCCCAGAGAAACGCCCCCCCCCCACACCTGAAGAATTTGGCCCCCCCCCCTGGGCCTCTCGGGCAACCGCTCAAACGACCTGGGAGAACCCTACGTCAGAGCCCGAAGTCGGCCGCAGAGGGATCCAGGCGTTCCGGCGCGCTCCCGAAACGACCCCAAAGAGCCCAAAGACGGTCCACGACGATCCCCCCCCCAAAGATTGCTCCGATACGTCCCAAGAGGCCTCCAAGAGCACTTCCAAGAAGGCCTCAAGAGGCAAACTTGATTCATGTTCTGTTGGTCTTTAGTGAACTTGGGGGTTCTCCTATTTCGGTTTCCCGACGCTCCAAGACGGCGGTCTTCTGGGCGTCCGAAGCCGCCTGGGAGGCTCGAAGATCGCCTCACAACCAGCTGACAAAAATGCTTCCAGGCAGTCCAGGAGATCTCCAAGACGGCACAAAAGGGTTCCAAAATGGCCTAAGAGAGCCCCATGACGGCCCCAAATGGCCCCCTAACACCCTCCGAAGCACTCCAAATCGTGACCTGGTCGTTCAGGGAAACTGCGGTTGGAGGCAGGGTGGCCCGAGGAAGCCCCCAGAGGCCCCTAAAAGACGCCCAGGAGGCCTCCAGAAGGCCACGAGAAAGCCTGAAAAACTTGTGCGAGGCCCCCAGCGGCCCTCCAAGGAGGAACCTCTGCAAAAAAAACTGCGGAGGGTGGGGGAAATACGCAAGGGATGGCGAGAATGAAGAAAAAGAAACATAGAGGACAAATCACGACCATTATAATAACGGCGATGTCGGAAAGAACAGCAATAATTTATCGCGTATTTGTCGGCTTGACCTGTCTGCCATTCCGCCTGCATGCCAAGCTTCGGGGACCAAGGTGCATGGCGCGAAGCGCCAATGAAATATTGTGGATGTTTGTATGTGTATATATACGATATATATATATATATATATATATATATATATATATATATATATATATATATATATATATGCGACCACGACATCGCTCGAATGACCCGCGCAGTCCGTGACAGGACGCGGCAGAGACGGACCAGTGACTTCATTTACAACGACATCCTAGAAGTAAAAAAAACACCGGCGAGGGAAAGAGCCGCCGGCTTAAAAGCCCAGCCGTCCTGACAGATTAAAAACACCTGTCTTCCGCGACACCTGGTGTTTTTGGAGAGGGCGCTCGGATGGGAAAAATACAGCATCGGGCCCGCCAGCGCCCCAAAACTGCTACTGGCGCCGAGGCGGGAGCGAGCATTTTTGCCCGGATGCTATACATTCATACACCAAACGCACCACAGGGGGAGGCGGAGGCGGAAGAGGGGAGAGAAGGGGGGAGGAGGAGGAGGAGACGAAAGAAAGCCCAGATACCGAATGATACGAATTCCCAGTTAAACGTAACGATCTAGAGGCTGCACATATGAAGGTTCGATCGCTCTTGAAGCGGAATTACAATCATCACACTCGCTCCTGCGCGCAACGCAACTGAGACCGGTACACCCAGGGCGCATTATTCCCGGGGCTCTGATGCCGAAGGTAAGCATGAGCTGTGAAACAGCTCTACACATGGAGTATCATGGAGTGAAACGGCCTTGTGAGAGGGGTTGGGCGGGGAACAAAGTAAGAAATGGCGAAACGACCAATTTGACAAATCAAGGTGCACATAGCGACGGCCTGCCTCCAAGAGGACAGGACAACACCAATAATGCTCGATCGAATCGGGCCCTGAGGTCTTGCAGCAAACGCATGGGGCTTCCTCTTGAAAGCGCCGCGCGGTTGTCCAGCCATTGAAAAGAGCATGCGTACAGGCAGAGAGGACACACGGAGGAGCCTGGCGCCGCAAAATGGACATGTTGCTTGCAGAACACTCCGCGCAGACGCGCAGTTTCGACGGTCCTGAGATGTGGTTCCACGTGGCCTGAACAGGGCACACCGGAAACAAGTGGCCATGCAATTGCTTGTAAATCGCTGCTTGGGCAGCCCTAGCCTCACCACGAACTGTAATCAATGAAACTCACATTGTGCTGAGTCGGGTCTGTGCGCGACCCAGAACACGGACGGCCAAGCGATCGAGCCGCGATTGCCACCTCCACAGCAGCGGAGCATGGTCACTCAAAGCAACGCGCTGCAATAGGCTGAAGCTGGTGCGCCAGCCAGGGCATGTAGTAGACAATGCCCTACCCGCAGAGGCCAGATGCACGGCCGTCATAGAACGAAACGGCACTGGTAACCCGAGCCGGTCGAGATTGAATTCGTACTTCGGGGGCAGCCAGTTCCCCTGCCCAACGACCAGTTTGCGAAGCATCGCGCGCTCGGTCTTCAGGAGGTCGGCGGTCGGCTCGACCAGCTGCAAAACGATCCCCAGCACGCTGATGGCGATAAAGTTGCACAGCAATGCAGCGGCCCGCAAACCGGGTGAAAGATCTCTGACGCACTGGACTCTGCCCCTGCCAGAAGCGTCGCACAAGAACTCGCCCCCAGAAAGGAATCTCTGCTTTGAGAAGCCGTGCAGAGCGTACCAAAAAATCGGCCACATGGGAATGATCGCACACTTCCGAGGCTTGCTCTTGAGATTCGAAATGCGCGCGATCTCTGCGAAGAGGAATGCTGCGACAGGCCCGTCAATCCATATCCTCCCCAGTATGATGGCGATGTCGTCGGCGAAAGCTCGCACTAGGCAGCGGTCGCCCAAGTCATGAACCGGTGCTCGAAGGAATGCGTCAATAGCTATAACGATCAGCGTAGGGCTGAGGGGGCAACCTTGCTTCGCCCCAGAAGTAACGGTGAATGCTTCAGTTGTCATCCCGCCAAATCGCCATACATGTGTATTCCCGCGATATAGCTGCTGCACGGCCGTGCTGATGGACACTCGAATTCCGATCGCATCCAAAGTCATCCAGAGAAATGCTGAAGACGAGCTCGGACAGGCGGCACCGAAATCGTTCAGCAGACAAGCTGGGCGCGGACTTCCGGGCCATGCTGCTGGCTGACCGGGCCCCTGCGAGTCTCTAGCTAAAGCTGCGGTGGCCATGTGGGTCTCCACCTCGATGACGTTGTCGAGCATTTGCCGGCCTTTGATAAATCCCCGCTGTGGGTCAGAGGACCATTTGCCTACCGCGGGCTACAGAATCCGGTTGATTGAAGCAGCAAGTAGTTTGACATCGGAGTTGCCCGGGGACAGCGGGCGCGCGTCGGGCGCGGACCGGAAGCCGGCGGGGCCCGAGGCTAGATCGTGACCTTCAGCAAGCAGGGCAAGCCACGCATCGTTGGCATCGCGAGGAAGTGGCGCGCCAGCTGGCCATTCGAGCAGGGCAGAATACATAACGCGTTGGCGCAATTCTGGCGCGCGCCGGGCGCCGTAGGGCGCGCCATCGGGCCCGGGGGCTGAGTCGGCGAAGCCAGAGAGAAGCTTAGAGAAATCGTCGAACGAAATAATCCATTCAAGGCGCGACAACTGAACAGCGCACTTGTCCAGAAAGGTTTTGCCTGCCTGCCCATCGACAGGCTGCGCGGCGAAAGCTGGACCCCCAGTAGTCAGCAAAGGCAGCATGAGCGACCGTAGTGTGGGCAATTGGGAGACCTTGATTGACGATGAGGCCCCGGAGGCCTGCACGCCGTCGCTTCGGTGAAAACTGAACAGCCCGCGCTATGAGTCCAGATCACTCCCGGCTCATGTAGAACTCCGGGAGGTCGGCGGCATCCTCCAGCTCCTGCAGTCGCTCCTCGGCCGTCGCCTGGCTGAGGCGCTGGATGACGGGCCCCACTTGGGAGAGTACTGAATGAGTCCAGCTCGAGAGGCAGCAGTTGCCGAGAATGTCCTGGAGGTCGGAGCAGACGCTGGCTGCAGAGAGAGCCCGCTGAATACGACCCTTGTGCACGGGGCGAAGAAATTTCAGACACCGCCAAAGCTTCTCCTCGGAGGCGCGGGCGCCATGGCGCTGAACCCTGCGTTTGACCTCGGAGCTGGCCTTGAGGAAGAGGCGCTTCAGCTCGACCTCATCGGCCCATTTGCCGCTAGTCTGTGCAAAGCGGAGCTCATCAAGCACGGTGCCCCACAAAAGGGTGCCGAGGTACCCAGCTTGGAACAGTCGGGGATCGAATTGAGCTGCCACGCTGCCGCCAAGTGAAGAAGACGGGGGCGCGGTCGCTCGAGTCGAAGCGGGGGGGCGCGGCAAGTCCAGGAGAGGCAGCGCGAACGTCAAGATTGGTTAAGAGAGAGCTCGGTAGCGATGTAAATATGCGGTCAATCCGGCTGTGCTGACGATGTCCTGCAGCATCAACCCCTTTCCTAGTGAAATCGTCATGCGTCAGCTCAGTGAGCAAGTCAAGACATGTCAGCGTGTCGAAGGTGTCCCGTACGACGGTGCCAATGAAGGTACCGGCGGTGGCATCAAACCGGTCGGACTCGCATGCAACTCAATTGAAGCCCCCAAGAAGAATGAGAGTGGCCTCGGAATAGGTAAGAGTCACCGAAGACAACTCTTCTAGTAGCTGTTGCCGGTCCCCCTCAATATGCACGCCACATATCACCAGATGCCCCCGTGACCCAAGCAGAGAAAGAGTACAGAGTCGACCAACGATACGTGGATTGAAGTTGATATCCGGGAAGTCGGCGAAGAGCGTGCTCTTGACCGCAATCCCGACCCCCCCGGCGTTCGGGGCAGCGTCCAAGCCGCGCCAACAGAAGCGATGGTCCCCACAGAGCTTCCGCTCAAGAGTTCTGCTTCTCCTCTGGGTAGAATGAGCCTCGAGGAAAATGGTGAAGTCGTGGCGGTGGGCGAGGTTCACGGCGCATCTGGATTTAAGTGTCCTGCGTTGCGGGTCCACGCCACACAAGCCCCGTCGCCCGAGAAATATTTGGAGGAGGCAGCACGGGGAGAAGAACGAGGAGCAGGAGGAAAAGGGTCAGGCTCCCTGCTCTGTGAGCAGACGCGTTGAAAAACACGTGGCTGTCGGAGCTTGTCCCGGAGAGCGTGCCTGAGGAGTCGCGTCGCTCCCTCTGCGTGCCCGCGTCGATGAACACGAGGCCCCCAGCACAGAAGGAAGTGAAACAGAAGTGGAAGATGCGCGCACAAACCCCGATAAATGAGTCGAATTCTCCGGCCATGCCAAAAGATGCATGTCACCATGCCCTTCTGCATCATCACGCCGCCGTGGGCGCCACCAGCGTGAACGCCGCTTCGAGTCCACCTCGGAGGCCATCGAGGCCGCCGTCTCTGGGGAAAACTCCACCTTGTCGAGCCCGTTGGTGTGCGCGCGGGTGGAGACGCCGTCCTCCAGAACCGTGAAGATCGTGACCAACTGCCCCATGCCGCCAACGTCGACGACACCGGACCTGACCGTGGAGGCCTTTTGAGGTCATGTGCTGCTCCAACTTCTGCCATAACTGTGAGATTACCCATCCCCGGACGCGTTCATCGGGTGACCGGTCCATTGAAGCGAGAATGGAGCAGATTCCGAACCAATAGTATATCCGTAGGCCAGCGCGGATGGACTCTTCGAGGATGGCCTCCGCCGAAGCGGAATCGTTGAAGATGGGGCGCGCGTGTTTGGTGTTGCTGGCGGCGCGGATCTGGGGGAGCGGAGTGTTCGGTGAGAGCGACTGGAGGACAGTCTCAGCATGCTTGACCAGCGTCTTGGACCACATGGGACATGGGAAGCCTTTGAGCACGAAGACTTTGTTGTCGGAGTCGTCGGTGCGCGTTGCCCGGTAGCCAGGACCTTCGCTGCGTGCGCGCTTGGAGCCAACGCCGCCTGCGTCGGCTCGAGATTCCAAGGCGGTAGTTCTCTCCTGGAGCTTCTGGATCTCCTCCATAAATTCATCATGATGCTGCTTGAATCGGGCTTCGGGTTTGGTGTCGAGCAGCTGCTCCGTCTCCCTCATGATGTCGTCCTTCAGATCCTGACGCAACTTTCCGAAACCGGTGTCCAGCAGAATCTGGATGTCCTTGAGCTGCGCCATGAATGTCCTGAGAAGTACATGGACAGACTAGGTGGTGGAGTCCTGGGGGCTAGAAGCCTAAGGCCTGGTTGCCTGGTTGGCTCAAGCTAGTCCTTGAGCCAAAATGGCTACGTGTACACAACCAACACACACACATATCTATACATATAATGTACATTCCTATTCATACGAATCTATCTTTATAAGGCCAAGGACCCCGAGAAAAACACACACACACATATACACACACACACACCTAACGATTTTGGCCCACCCTGGGCCTCTCCAGACGACCCGGGAGAACCCCTACGAAAGCCCGATTACGGCCCCAGAGGGCTCCAAGCGTTCCGGCGCGCTCCCGAAACGACCCCAAAAAGCCCCAAGACGATCCACGACGATCCCACAGAAGCCGTCATACCCTCAAAGATCGCTCCAAAACGTCCCAAGAGGCCTCCAAGAGCACTCCCAAGAAGGCCCCAAGAGGCAAAATTCATTGATTTTCTGCTGGTTGTTGGTGAATTTGTGGGTTCTCCTCCTTTCGGTTTCTGCGTATCAACAGCCTCGCACGGAGTGTCAACTGAATGAATGTGTCTTGAATTTGTGTCGAGTGTACAATTGTCAACCGCACTGCGTTAGTGTGCGACCGTGTTCTTGTGTTTGATGTCTCATGCGAAATCCGTGCCTGGATCCTGAAGCAGCCAAATCCACACCTGGTGACATACACAAAGTACCTTATCCTCCATTTGGTGCCATTGACGTTGTAGTTCTCTTCAAACAGTGGGGGCGCTTCTTCCACGGCTTCTTGGCGACAGATCCTGTACCACTGTCACGTTTAGTGTACAACTGTCAACTGCATGATCCTCTTAGCCATGCGTGTCCTTACCAGTATGGATGCCGTAGCAAGCTGTATGCGTACAGCGGCCGCCATTGTCAACATAATCGGGGAGGCGTGGCGTGTACAATGGAGGAGGCGAGGGGTAAGTGAATGGACAAATCGGCATCGCAAAGGGGATGGGCAATTGCATAAAGCTTGCATAATTTCGAGGAATAAATACTGCCGCGTGCTTGTTCAATGGCCGAGAGCGGTGCTGCTTCAAAATACGATTGTAGCAGCACGTCAACAAACAAATATCGTCGATGGCGAAACTAGTTTTGCTAACGCAGTTTTGCCTGCTTCTCCGTACCAAGAACCCAATACGTCGTTGTGTGCTTTTCCGCTGGTGTTGTATCTGCTTCGAGCCAATGAGAACTATACTATAGAGAAACATGCTTGTTCATCAGGGCCTCAGCGCAGAGATGGCTGCGTGTACCTAGAATAGAGAATCAAGGATGTGTGTAGAGCTGCGCTGGTAGTGATCTCGTGTCGTGGGCGCCCTGGCGGAAGGGCCGCCTCCTCCTCCTCCTCCTCCTCCTCCTCCTCCTCCTCCTCCTCCTCCTCCCCCACCTCCTCTATTCTGCTTCACGTCCCCCTCATCATCCGTCGAAGCCCTCGCGCGGCTATATCGGGGTGGAGTCTTCTTAGAACTATATGTCGGCATCTCGCGGCTCCAATGAGCCGTCTTGGTACGGGATGCTGCGCCATGATGGGGCCCACTTGAGCCATCGTGGGCTCTTTGAACAACCATATTTGAGAATCCAAATCCAAAAGGGCTGCTAAAAAAATCCGTGTGGAAACGCAGAGACGCAATGGCAGCCTTGCGCAAGGATTTCTTCTGTAGCTGCCTTAGGCATGGATTCCGTTCGAGGCGGCCGCGTTTGCGTGTTCTGGGTTTTCAATTATTTGTGTTTATGCGTTTCCTGCGTTTTCAGAATCTCCACCCGCATGCATTGTAAAGTTCATTCGGCACGCTGTGGGGGGAAATTCGACGTGAAACGGAGACCCCCGCCGAGAAATCGATTTCGGTTTCGTGTTCGTGTCGTGCTTGCGGGCGAGGCGAAGCTGCGAGGGCGGGCGAAAGGAATGAACCCGCCGTGGCTAAGGCGAAAATGATCTCAATGACTCTACGGGGGTGTCTCGCCAATGTCCCGTGCTGTCCCGTGACGCAGTGTCCCGTAGTGTCCCGTGGCGCGGTGTCCCATGTTGCCCAGTGGTGCCCCGTGGTGTCCCATGAGGTCAAACGTGA